CCCAGGGATCAAACCCAGGTCTCCCACATTGCAGGTGGATTCTTTACCAGCTGAGCCACAAGGAAAGCCCAAGAATACTGGAGTGAGTAGCCTATCCCTTCTCTAGGGGATCTTCCCAACCCAGGAATTGAACCGGGGTCTCCTGCATTGCAGGCAGATTATTTACCAATTATCAGGGAAGCCCTATAATACATTAAGGATCAGCTATTCTAGCACTCTTTAAAATGTTCTATAATTAGACCATCCTACAGGACTTTCCAAGATGATGAAAATGTCCTATCTATGCCCTGCCATCCAGAAGCCACTGGAAATGTAGCTAGTATGACTGAGGAACACAAATTTAAATTTAATTTTATTACAATTAACTTAAATTTAAATAGTCACACATGGTTAGCGACTGCCATGTTGGACACTGCAACCCAACTACAGAAAATGGAGCAAAATTTCCAAATTCTTCTTATAAAATCAGTAGCACCATTGCCTAACCATGATAAAATGTGAACTGTGACTTCTCTGGTGGCGCAGTGGATAAGAATCCGCCTGCCAATGCAGGGTACATGGGTTCGATCCCTGGTCCGGAAAGATCCCTTATGCCACAAAGCAGCTAAGGCTGGACATCACAAATACTGAGCCCGTGCTCTAGAGCCCATGAGTTGCAACGATTGAGCTTGCCTGCTGCAGCTACTGAAGCCGGCGCTCCTAGAGCTGTGCTCCACAACAAGACAGGCCGCCACGATGAGAAGCCTGCAGGGAGAGGGCCGCAGCACAGGAGCGCCCAGCTAGCTGCAACTAGAGAAGGTCTGCACGGAGCAACGAAGACCCAGCAGTCTCATCAATAAAAACACACCTAAAAAGCAAACTGCAGGCAAACTTCACATGTGACGATCAAGGTAACAAGTCAATAATGTGCTAAATAAGGTATGCACGAAACAATTCAGCACACATTAGAAGGTTAGCTATGTGCTGGAAATGCAAGACGGCTCAATATTGGGAAATCCATTAATTTAAACTACATTAATATTAAAAGATCAAAAGAGAAAAGTCAGAACTATTGCTGTTGAAAGGCATTTGTTAAAATTAAAAATAGATTCCTGATTAAAACTCTGAATGAAAGAGGACTATGTTTACATTTACATAACATGTTAAATATATATCTCGACCTAGAAGACTGCATGGGGAAAGAAGAAAATTGAGAAATGATAAAAACAATCCATTAAATTCATAAGTACTTCCATAAGTACTGAATGAAGAGTGGTATGCTCACTATTACCACTATTACTTTAGTTGGCTCTAGACGCACAAGTCGGTGGAACCAGACAACAGAAGAAACAAGGTTGAAAATTTGAAAGAAGTAATAAATGATCAGTTGACTCCATATTATTAGTGTAATTCTGGTAAACTAATTCAAACAATTACAAACACTATAATGTACTGGTTAAGAGCATATGTTCTGAAGCTGTGATATTGGTTCATTTGCTGTCTATTAAACAATAACTAGCTGTGTGACCTTGGGCTAGTTATTTAAACTCTCTTGTTTCCTTCTCTGTAAAATGGGGATAATAAAATTATCCACTATAAGGTTACTAAGAAGATTATGTATGTAAATATACAGACAGCTCATATAACATGCCGTATTTAATATATACTACATAATATCACTGTTAATATTAAGATAATAAATTTTAAATAAATTATTGAATACATAAATTACTAAATTATAATAATGTGCAAAATAAAAAAAATCAAAATCCTTCCCATATTAAAAAGGTTTCATTTCTAATTGCAACACACTGAACTAGGAATAAACATTTCTTATGTGCAGGATTAAATGAGGATATTTAAAATGCTATTAGGGAATAAAAAGAATAGTTGAATAAAGGGAAAACATATATCATTCTTGGATAGGAAGATTCAACATCATTAGGTTATAGATTCCTTCTAAATTATTCTATAAATTAAAAAACTAGCTTAAAGTGATTCTAAATTCATATAAAGATACACATGAAAAAAGTGAAGACAGAGCAATAAAAGAAGATTAGCATGAACAGATATGAGGCATATTATGGTGCTAAAATATTCAAAATAGTATGGTATCAGAATGTGAAGAGACAGATTAAAGCTACATTTTATAGAGCATAGAAACAGAACCAAATACATATGGAGCTTTAATATATGCTAAATGGGGGAGGTTCTGCATATGAGAAGGAAAAGATTAATTATTCAATAAACACCAGTTACAAAAAGCAGTAGGCAATCTGAAAAAAAAAATAATGTTGGCTCTATACTTGATTCTTTAAATCAAAATAAGTTCTCTGTAGATTAGAGTTTTAATTGTGAAAGTGAAAAAAACAAAGCAGTGGATGAGATACTGTTTTTCTATAATCTTGGACTATGGAAGATCTTATTACACAAAACTTGGGAGCTATAAAAAATCGGTAGATTCAGTTATGTAATACCCCCAAATTTCTGCATGGCCCCAAACCCCAAAGATACATCAGAGACAATGATAAGTTTAGAGGAAAAACACGGAATCTGTAGCAGTCCCAAAGTTAACCACTCTGACCAGTAAAGAGCTTATACACATCAGTCAATGTGACCAACAACTCAACCAAAAAGTGGTCTAATAATATAAGCAGATACTTCATCCAAAAAAAACTAACTTTTTCTATTTAATGGAACTTGTGATCAGAAACATGTGATACCATTTTTATCTTATTAAATCACAAACAATAAAAAAAGCCATAACATTTATATGGTGAGGATACTGGAAACAGTGTTTGTTATTAGCATATCATTGTATGTGTTCGTATTTGCTGTTTAGTCCCTAAGTCGTGTCTGACTCTTTATGACCCCATGCACTATAGCGCACCAGGCTCCTTGGCTATGGGATTTTTCAGGCAAGAATACTCAAATGGCTTGCCATTTCCTGCTCCAGGGGATCTTCCTGGCCCTGGGATCAAACCCGCATCTCCTTCATTGGCAGGCGGATTCTTCATCACTGAGCCACCAGGGAAGCCCCATATGTTAGTATAAGCAGTGTTAATATACTACTGCATGAATGTTGTTTATATTAGCGTCAGTATTACTATATTGCTGGTTCACGTATAAATGGGTTCAACCTTTCTGGCAGACAATTTGGCAGTATCTATTATAGTTTGAAGGCTTTCCTGGTGGCTCAGACGGTAAAGAATGCTCCTACAATGTGGGAGACCTGGATTCGATCCCTGGGTTGGGAAGATTCCCTGGAGAAGGGAATGGCAACCCAGTCCAGTATTCTTGCCTGGAGAATGCCATGGACAGAGGAGCCTGGTGGGTTACAGCCCATGGGGTCGCAAAGAGTCGGACATGACTGAGCGGCTAAGAACAGCATATTATAGTTTAAAATACACCTACCATTGCCCTAGCTATAAAACTTCCAGAATTTACCATGCAGATATACTCACAAATGGGCTGTGTCACATGCACATTTGTGTGTGTGTATGCTCCGTTTTGTTTTTTGGTAAGGGAAAACACATTCATTGATAGGAGCTGGCTAAATAAATGTAGCATATGCAGAAAATAAAACATTACACAGGCATATCTCGTTTTACTGTGCTTCACAGATATCGTGTATTTTATAAATTGAGGGCTTGTGGCAACCCTGCATTGAGCAAGTCTATCAGTGCTATTTTCTGACAGCATTTGCTCTTTGTATCTCTGGGTTATATTTTGGAAATTCTCACAATGCTGCAAGAGTTTATTATTACTCTATTTGTCATGGTAATATGTGGTCAGTAATCTTTGATGCTATTATTGCAAAAAGATTATGATGTGCTGAAGATTCAGATAATGGTTAGCATTTTAGCAGTATTTAAAATTAAGGTATGTACACTTTTTTGGATATAATGTTATGACTACAGTATAGTGTAAACATAATTTGATGTGTTTTGGGAAACCAAAAAATTCCTGTCGACTTGCTTTACTGAGATATTTGCTTCCTTGCAGCAGTCAGGGATCAAACCCACAGTATCTCCAAGGTCTGCCTATACAGTCATTAGAAATGAGAAGACAGTTTGGATTGAGTGTTGATAGGAATTAATCTCTAGGATGAAGTGAGAAATACTGGTACAGATTTATATGTGCTCTTATTTGTTTAAACACACACACATATACACACACACACAGGTGTTTGTAAGCACATACGATTCCTTGTGTGAGAAGATATTCCAGAGAGAATAACTGCATAACTGAGGGACAGACATGGGAATGTAATTACTTTTCATTGCATACCATGTCGGGCTTCTCAGGCAGCTCAAATATCAAAGAAATCTGCCTGCAATGAGGGAGACCTGGGTTATACCTTTTGCATTTTATACTAAGAGTATGCTTTACCTGTTCCAAAATTTATTGCTTTTAAAATATTTTTATTTATCTATTTTTGTTTCTTTCTGTTCTCAAGGAGGAAACTCTCTTTCCACATTATGTTGATACAATTGACATAATCTTAGCTCCTGTCCTCTTCCCCCCGCTTTATTTTGTGTCTGGTGGTTTAGTTGCCAAGTCATGTCTGATTCTTGCGACCCCATGGACTACAGCCAGCCAGGCTCCTCTGTCCATGGGATTTCCCAGGCAAGAATACTGGAGTGGGTTGCCATTTCCTTCTCCAGGGGATCTTCCCAACTCAGGGATCGAACCCGTCTCCTGCATTGTAGGTTGATTCTTCACCAACTGAGCCACTGTCTAAACAGTAAATAACTGTCCCACAAATGAGCAACAGGAATGTGGGACAAAGTATCTCCATGTTACAGAACAATGTTAGCGAGACATTAAAATATGTATACCTGGAAAAGATCTGAAAACCTCTGCAGCAAATGTTAACAGTGTTTATCTTGAGTAGGGGCATCGTAGGTACGTCTGGTTTTGGTCATGGTATTTTCTGTGAGCTCCAAAGTTTACACAATAATGTCTTACTTTGGTAATAATTTTTAAAGTTTTTTCTTTTATAACTTTCTGCTACTCACCTGGTTCCTGTCCCTGGCATTTGCATATCGAAACCTCTGGATATAATAGAAGACCAGCCAGGCAAGGGAAATGATCATGAGGACGATGAAGGAGATGGATACAAAGACAACCGAGGTACGGCTCACGTATTTCTGCAAGTTCCGGGTCCCGATGGTGATGTACATGGTCACAGTGATGTTTCTCTCCAGCAGGCTTACTATCTCCCTCCCTTTGGGCTCAGGAATCATTATTGCCACGATGTCTTCCACACCTGTTGTGAGAGGACAAGTGTAAGGGGATGAGAGAAAGAAGATCACAGTAAAGTGTCTGAACAAAATACCACGCACCAAATCATGATACTTCCTTCAATGAGTCTATGCCAGACCAAATAGCCAGGTCTCATTCTCAGATCTAACAGCCAGAAGTGGAGTTGAATTTTCCTTTCTTCAGCTACTGTGGGATGCTGCTATCTTATATATGAGAAAAGAACCTAAACAAACTCATGTTTTTGGTACCAGCGAGGTCATGATCCTGCTCCTTTCTAGCTCCCAAAGGTGTTGTTGGCCTTGGTCTAGGAAAGATGGACCCTCCCAACCAGCCCAGTTTGCAGTTCTATGTTACATTTCACAATCCCTCCACAGAGGGGAAAAGGCACTTTGTGCCCCATGGCAAAGGATAAAATACCCAATTTTACACCATCTGTCTATGAGTTCTCTCCTTCCCCTTCACAGACACTAGGAGCTCTCAGTTACAGATTTCTATTAATCATTTCCAATACAGGCTTCTCCTACAGTATCCAAAGCAATCACAAAGCAGATTTTTCTTTTTATTAAAGTATAGTTGATTTATAATATTGTATTAATTTTAGGTACATAGCACAGTGAGTCAGAATTTTTGTAGCTTATATTCCATTGTGAGTTATTAACAAGATAATGGCTATAATTCCCTGTGTTACACTATGTGTCTTTGTTGTTTATCTGTTTTATACATAATAATTAGTTAATCCCACACCCCTAATTTGTCCCTGCCCACTTCTGTCTCCCCTTTGAAACCACAAGTTTGTTTTCTATATCTGTGACTCTGTTTCTGCTAAAGAAGTTTTCTTAACAAGCTCTAATATGAGCTGCCAACATAAAATAACAGTCTCAGAATTAACTTCTGCTTTTTTTTTTTTTTTTTTACCTAATTCAATGTAAACAGCTTGTGTATCCTCATGCCAAGCAAAGAGACGAGAGAGACTGTACCGATCATTCCAGGACGGTTTGCTCTCCACTCTCAAATACTCTTACCGCGGAGCCCCTGTTATTGGACAGTTTGAAGCAAAAGTGGTATCTTTCTTCAGTCTGAGTTATCTGGGTCATTTTCCCTTCTCTTTATGACACTCTGAGGCACAGCCTCTTGGTGAGGAGTTCAGAGGCCTCTGTAAGGGGTCTTTGGTAAGGATATAATATCAGCTCCAAATGAGCCAACTCAACTTGCCACTAGCGGCTCAGATGAGAATAACAACCCCGAGGTTAATTTTCAGGGAGCGCCTCAACTCCAATCCATCCTACAATGTTCTTCATGAGCCCCATTTCCACATGGAAGTGTCCTATTACTTGAGGTCACTGCAAGTTAAACTGCAAACTTGCAATTAGGATGTAGGTTCTGGACAGAGTTAAACACCCCTTCAGCTGCTTACAGCTGGCCTTATCCATGCACTGAGGTCAGGCAGTGAGACAGAATTACCAGATTATATTTGTTTAGGGTGTTTCAAGTTTCTTAGAAGCTATTTAGGACTTTCCCTTGACCTGATCTCCAGGCAGTTTTTCCATCCTAAATTCCTTGATGGTATTTCACTTAGGCCAAATGAGTACTTTTAAAAGCTAGCTACATACAAAGGTGTCTATGTATGAGACATCAATTATATGATTTTTTTAATTCCTAAAACCTTTGCACTGGCTCAACTGCAAAAATCACAAAACTACACAATGTTTAGATTTGGCCATTATTTCTGGGAATTATTGAAACCGATGGCTTAGATTTCAACTTTGCAGAATTTACTGACAATCCTGATGCTTGTTCTCTCGTCATGTTTACTCTGGCTAATGGCTGTATGTGGTCTGAGGTTTTGTGAGGAATTAAAGCTTCTGGCAGGTTTTTCCTCTTATAGAAATACGATCCTCTCTGCATACTGGACTAATCTGGCCTGGTGAAGTTCATCCCAGTACTGTAGCCACTTTGTAGATATTTAATCAGTGATAGATCATAAGTTTTCACTTGATTTTTTTTTTAATTTATATTTTTCAAGTTAGTCTATTCAAGGTTCCAGAATGAGACTATTTTTCTTTCTAAGATGAGGTCTCGGGATTATTTATATAAGACTTTGTATGCTCAGATTTTGGAGAATCCCATGGACAGAGAAGCCTGGCAGGCTACAGTCCATGGGGTCGCACAGAGTTGGACACGACTGAAGTTACTCAGCACTCATGCATGCTCAGATTTAGACCCATTTTACTCTTTTTCAGTAGTCAAATTTCATCAATATATTCCCTTATGACTTCTAGTTTTGATTCTCTGCATAGGAAGCTCTCCTCCATCAAAGATGATAGAAATATTCATCTAAAATTTCTTTCAGCTATACTTTAAATGTAGTTCTACTTTTTACATTTAAATCTTGAGCAATCTGAATGTAGTTCAATAACAACACTGCATTTAACATGATGGGCAGAGAGGAGACAGGTAGGATGCAATTTGTTTTTTTCCTAAATTCTCAGACATACTGGGGCCTATGTTTGGATTTTTTTCTTTACTGTAAGGTGGATCTATCTTTTGCTGACCTAATACCAGGCTCTTTTAGCTGTGAAGCTTTTAACATATTTACTATTTGGTAGCCTCTTTCCTCAGTTATTTACCTCCTTACAATATTCCTATTATCTATTTATATTGAGACCATTTAAAAAAGAGATACATCACAGAGCCTGACAGTAAAGAATTGGGCTTTGAAACTGGACAGTTTTTTTCAAACTTCAGTTCAGCATATCTGGAGTGTTTTAAATTACCCATCACCCACTTTCAGGACACAAGGAAACAGCTTTTCTTCCTGTAAGGTATAATTTACTATTTTAAAGCACTTATTTTAAACTTAAGTGCTCAGTTACACTACCTGTGTTGTTTAACCCACTGCTGCACCTTTATGATATATGATATCTGCTTGAAAAGACTGAAAATGGAAGTGGTGCAGTTCTTTTCATCTAGACCTCAACCTTATTCATTTTCAATGTTTATAATGAATTTCTAGGGCCAATGCTTGTAAAAAATAGATTGGATTCTGAGATATTTCTCCCTGTACTTTAGGCTACTTATTGTGCATGGTAAACAGAGACACCGAAGGTATCCATTTATACCAATAGAAACAGTCATTAAGAATTTTGGCATTTAGGGTGTCTAAAGATGGTACAAAGGGACTTGATGAATTATTTGAGCAGTCTGAGCGATGCACAAAATCTGCTAGAGGACCTAATCTGTTCAAATGAGATGTGTGTACCAATATGGGTTTTCAGACAATTCCTAGATCTTTGCTTCATTTTGGAAGATGCAGCCAGTGTCCCAGAGAAGCCAGAAGATTCTCTCCAGGTAGCTTGGAGTGTAATTGCTTCTGAGGGTATGTATGTGTGTGTATGTGCGGGGGGTTGGGCAGGGAGGAAGGGAGAAGCAGGGGTGACAGGGGAGAGAGCGCTGAAAGCCCAGCTGAGAGCCCTCCTCAGAGGTAAGTGCTGCCCTAAGTATCAAATCTATGACACCCAGGAGGCTCTGAGGCTCAGGAGAGAGAAGTTAATAGAGCATATTTTATATGGGTGAAATCTACAAAGAGATCCTGCTATTGGGGCGATTCTATGTTTACTCTAGGGCTTTCCAGGTGGCTCAGTGGTACAGAATCCACCTGCCAAGCAGGAGATGAGAGTTCATCCCTTGGAGGAGGGCATGGCAGCCCACTCCAGTATTCTTGCCAGGAGAATCCCATGGATAGAGGAGCCTGGCAGGCTATAGTCCATGGGGTCACAAAGAGTCGGACACGACTGCATCGACTAAATAACAACAGTTTACTCTGATGCCTCTTTTTGCAAAATGATGTCAGCCGACCATCTATTTTCCTCCCAAAGGCCCTCCACTTTTGAGCCATCGCTGCTGTGTAATTATCGTGTATCCTGGAAAAGCTCTTCAGTCCTGTCCCGCGACCAGGACACAGATGACCCAGCTGCCAGACAAACAGCAGGAGCAGCCCAGAGTTTCAGTGCTTCTTTTTCCTGGGCGTGGGCTCAACTGTCATCATCTGATTCGGAGAGGGAAATAGCAACGCATTCCAGTATTTTTGCCTGGAGAATCCGATGGACAGAGGAGCCTGGCGGGCTGCAGTCCGTAGCATCGCACAGAGTCGGACACGACCAAAGCAACTTAGCACAACACAATTTGGTACATGCAGATAAATATGGACTCAAAAGTTCAAAAAGCCAAAGACTGTTGAATGACAGGGAAATTCTTTACTTATGGATTCCAAACCACGTTGTTTAAACTCTGTCAACAGAATGCTTAGAAAACCAGCAGAGGGCCAGATATTTTACGGAGCTGGCAGTCCCATTCCTCCACGTACATCTTGGAGAGTGATAAAATCCCTCTGAAGTCATGCAAGCAAAAATCCTTTTTCAATTCTCTGTATCCTCTCTCTCCTCTGATTCTCATTTTGGTTTCATGGGTTGTCCTTTAGAATTTAGTCAACACTAAGAGAAACCTGCAGTTTCCATTTGTAGATATTTTCTATCACTTAATTATCTATTTTATTATTATTTTTAAAAAAGAGTCAGCTCCAATTATCATGTATTCTCAAGTGAGATGACATAGGTGCAATGACTTACAAAAACTGCAGTGTACCATAGAAATGTGAAGCTTTACCACCTTCTGCACTGATGTTCATTAATTTGTTTGGCTGCATTGGGTCTTAGGGCAATTGTTCATTGTGTCATGTAGGATCTTCTGTTGCATGGACTCTCAAGTTGCCACTTAGCTGCTTTGCAGCAGGTGGCATCTTAGTTTTCAGACCAGGGATTAAACCTGTGTCCCCTGCACTGTAAAGGCAGACTCTTAACCACTGGACCACCAAGGAAGTCCCTCTCTGCATTAATTTAAAAATTATTTTTAACAAACACAGATGCAAAAAAAAAAAAAGCATTCACAAATGGATTCCAATCATATAGTAAAAAATAGTCATGATCCAAGAGGTTTATCCTAGGA